ATTATGGAAGATGGTAGTGAAAATGTTCTCAGGGCCCCTTCTTTTATTATAAGGGTTAGGGTTTATTATGGAAGATGGTAGTGAAAATGTTCTCAGGGCCCCTTCTTTTATTATAAGGGTTAGGGTTTATTATGGAAGATGGTAGTGAAAATGTTCTCAGGGCCCCTTCTTTTATTATAAGGGCACCAATCCTATTTGTGAGAACCTCACGCTCATAGCTTTATTGCCTTCTGAAACTCCCACTTCTGAAAACCAGAGTATTGGGGTTGGGGTTTCAAAACATACATGTTGGGGAGCATAGAATTTACCCCAAAGCACATATATGTGAAGTTACTTCATCTGAACTTCTCGACAATTATAAGGTTCAGTGAGACTGCCCAGTCAAAGAGCACTTCTTGCAAAAAGTCTAGGGGGAGTATAAAAAGCCCAAAGAAATGGAATTGGGGAGAAGGCTGAATCCTAGGGAGTGCAGTGAGGATGTCTGAAGAGCTGATAGATCATAAAAGCCGTGAAAAGGAGGAGCACAAAAAGGTGACAAGAAGGGAATAATTTCTGTGTGAAGCTTAGAGACACCTTCTACGTTAAGGAAGGGGCATGATTCTATCGGAGGTGGAAAGAGTGTGTGTGAAGACTCTGCTTCTGTCGGAGGTGCAAAGAGTGTGAAGACCCTGTTTCTATTGGAGGTGGAAAGGGTGTGAAGACCCTGCTTCTATCGGAGGTGCAAAGGGTGTGGACATAACTGCAGGGTAAGCGACCTCAGTGCACAGCTTTGTAAGCTTCCGTCTTCATGAGGAAGTTGTTCATTATGTGAAATATTTTTATAAAGATTCTGCATGTTATAAGAAAAACGTCCATCAGTGTCTACCCACACTGATACAAGCCTGAAGGAATACTTACAGAACATCGGTATATGTTTGTGTACACATGCCTATTATATATTATATATGTATAATTTATAAAATACTGGTGGTCGTTGATGAATACATACATATGACATTTTCTCCTGTATTCATTTTCTCAGTTTGTAATGAACTTGCACTGCTCAGGAAACAATAAAAAGAAATAAAGAACACAAGTTGGTGTCCCTAATCTGAAGCTCCAACTGCTACAAAATCTGAAGCATTTGAGCACTGACATAACACCACCCAAGGAACACGCCACATGGAACCTCCCACAGTAGGTTGCAGGCCCACTAAATAAACCCTGCATGATATTAAATACAAATGAATTGCATGTTTAGACTCCGGTCCCATCCTCAACAAAGCTCAGTGCGTAATTATAAGAAGGAAAAAACTAAATAAAATTTGAAACACTTTTGGACCCATGAATAAGGGGTAATGGATAACCAACTGTAGTACTGTAAATAATTAAAGAGATAAATAGAGGGAACGCTTTTCAGTATGAGAAATGTCTTAAACGTTCGTTTATTCGGTTGTGAATATAGGGTACAGTCTTAACAACTAAGCAGGAGAGGGTGATAATAAGTGATGGAGGGATGAGGAAAGATGGGGCAGGCCAAAGGGCACATGGGGCATGAAGAGGAAAAGGGGCTGGGGATGAGATACAGGGGGGATCAGGGTCGCAGCTGAGGGTAAGGAGGGTGAGGAGCCACTAAAACTTGCTTTGTTCAAAACCTGTGATGATATGTGACACCTTGTATGTTAATTTTTAAAATGTATTAAAATAAATATTTCAAGTAAATAACATGCATTTTATATTTAATACATATTTTAATATTGTGTTTTAAGCCATTTTTAAGCTTGTTAAGGTGATTTCTTTGTATGTGTGTATGCAAGCAAACATTGCTACTTACTGTTAAATATTCAGATCGATCCAAATTTTCTTTATTAAAACACTTGTAGAGTTGGCAAAACCGTCTTAAATTTAAGTAGAATTTTAAAAGCAAAGGAGTGCAGACAAAAAAGGCAGAACTTTGGGAAAAACAAGCACAAACCAACTACTATTTCTCAAGATGAACATCTGGGCAAAGAACCACACTCTCTAAACCCGGTGTTGAGGCTTGCTGAGTTTTGCAATTCCGCAGTTAGCAGAACCGCTCCATTGACCAGCATGTGCTGACACAGGATGCTCAGGCAGAGGCTCGGTGGGTCTTCCTCCACTGCTGTGGAGAATTCTGGGCGGGAAGATCACAGCGGGAGTGCATGTGGACTTCTTTGAGGGCTTTAGCTTCCCACAGTGCGTTGTGAAAAGCAGAGATCTTTAGCTTCTGAGTCTGGGCAGTCAGGGACGTCTCTTTGGTGAAAAATTTTAAGGAACTTCCAACTTGATTGCAGTCCTGTGAATGATTGGCCATTGATGATGTCTGGGTACTGGGCTTTGGGAGGGTTCTTGCAATTTCCAGAGCCGTTCTGAGTGATTCATTTTTGAATGTTTCTGCGAACTGCACTGTTCCCAGTGAGCACCCACCCTCCCTCATGCAGCTGTTCCTCTCGCTGGATTTGCTTTGCATTTTTTTTTTCTGTTAGGTAGATCATAGGTGTGAGTATGGTTGTCCACGGAGTCATGTGAATCTTCCTGGGAATTATCAAACTGGAAGTCGTCTTGGGGACTGACCCAAGGAGAGGCCTTTTGAAGCAATGCTTTCCAAGTTAGAATCCAGCCCTTCCACAGCGAAGAAAGCAGACAAATAAAAGTTATCCTCTTCCCCACCCAAGAGACAGTCTCACATCTGTGTTGCCCTCCCATTTCACAAGGAAGGGTGAAGATTTAAGTCAAGGCTTTCCTGCAAAGAGTGGTTCAGGGAAGACAAATCTGTTGATTGAATTGTCTTTTTTCCTGCTCGACTCCTGAGAAACATTGCCGTGGTGGTCCAGGCCTGGGGGTGGCAGGAGAAGTGTGGGTTGCTTGTGAGTGGCAGGGGACCAGTGTCACCAACACCACCCTCTCAGAGAGTCCTTCTTACTAGTATGGCCAAGTTTACCAAAACAAAGCATGATCGAGGAAGAAAATAGTTGTTAACTCTAAACAGAATTAATGTTTTAGTCAAAACCTTCTAAGAAAGCCATATATATACTGGGATAGTGATATAAAAAGATACTGTATGAAGGAAAGTCACTACTTGGCCTGCAGGTAGCTTCTGGTGTGGAGGGAACCCTTAGGGATCCAGTTGATTCAAACTGGTCTGTGACAGGAAATGAGTAGACTCTTAGGAACCTTATAAACTGTTTCCCATTACCTTATACCTTGAAATTATACCTGGAATAATTGTTATGTAGAGGCTAGTGACGAGAGACAAGAATTGAATCTTTGTGTGTTATCTACAGAGACAACAGTCTGAGAACGCAGATTAGCACCCCAAGAACTGCCTTGCATCTCATTTCCAACAGACTTTATGAGAAACAGAAGGAAATAAAGGGAATGAGTCATTCTGGGACTTGGTTTCATCTCTTTGGGCAGGTGTGAAGGGGTTCTTCCTGTACAAGGGCATCTTGGCATTCGGTAGCCAAGGAATACCACAACATCACACCACTCAGCAAACCTCACATAAGAGATTTACTGGGGAAAGAATGGAATGGGGACTGCCTCCAACCAGGAGCAGAGACAGTGGAGGGCTGGGCAAAGGTGAGGGCCTTTTATAGGGTTTTTGAAGCATGCCCAATGAGCTAGTGGAAAAGCTGTTTTTGGCTGTTAGTACTAAGTCATTGGTCTGGGGATTTCAGGAGCTCGGGGCCAAGCCAGGGGCAGGGGTTTGTCCCTGAGCCCATGGTGGTCAGGTACATCTCAACATCATGCCTTCCATCCTTCCTTTCTTCCATGGATGTCTGAGTTCAGGCACCTCCTGGAACATGGAGTCAAATTACTGTCTGCTGATCTCAACCTTATTCTCCTCCGGGCTAACTCAGAACAAACTACAGACACTGTGCATATAATGTGCTGAGCCGGCAATAATGCATACTTGCCGATTAGTTTCCATAGTGTGGAGCACAACATATTATAAAAAAGAATTTGAAAATGACTCTATCCACCCCTTCTGTCATTTATCAAAACCAGCCACGACAGGTGCATTTACCCAAAGAGCTTGGTGCTCTTTGTAAGCTGGTGACCACCTTCCTGGGCAGCTGTTAATCCTTACCTGCATCTCACAGGGGGACAGACAAGTCTCCAAGGATTGCTTTGCTGAATGGGAGCCCTTGCGCTCAGAAGACACCAAGCATGAAGGGGAACCGTGCTTAGCTGTAGTACTCCAGTAGGGTTGTGGTTGAAGGCTCCAGCATCCTGGTCAGCGCCCAGCAGGTGTACCTCCACCGTGGATGAAGAGACAGCCTGCTTAGACAGCTGCTCCAACGCCTTCCCTACTGATCCTGCCCCACCTCACCAAGGGGGGGCCCAGAGTGTCCCTTTCCTCAGAGTCTTCAAAGTCACATCCTCAGATTAGCATTTGAGTCCTACTCTCTCCTCTCACACATTTTAACCTTCATACAGAGAAGTTTCTGGGGAGTTGAGAGAAGATTCAAGCATCGGTTACAGTTATGACCTAAGTTTATGAAAAGGAGAGAGAGAGAGAGAGAGAGAGAGAGAGAGAGAGAGAGAGAGAGAGAGAGAGAGAGAGAGAGAGAGAGAGAGAGAGAGGAGGGAGGGAAAGGAGGGAGAAACAGCAAGAGACACAGAGAGAGGGAGGCAGAGGAAGTGGAGGCCTGCCTTGGAGAGCTGGGCTTGGGTTCAATGATTGCACCTGAGGTGGGAGTTGGTGACCTTTGCTGCTGAGCCTCCAGCATTCTCTCTTCCCTGCTTCTTATCAGGTAAAAGACCCACAGACCATATGCCAGCAAGACATTACATAAGACTTTACCATAAGAGCATCAGAATAGCATTTTAAAAATCTCCGAAATAAAACAACGGAACCCACACCACCTCCTTCAGGACAGAGGCCCTCTTTGAGTTACAGGCAGTGCTGGAGGGCTCTTTCTATCAGAGCACTTGCTCCCAAATGCCATGCCAGACGAATATGAGGAGACACTTAAAAAGAGCCAACACAATGGTTTCATAGTATTTTTCCCTTTACTTGAAAACTTGTTTTAATGATCAAATTTGGCAGTTACAAACCTGTACACCGTTGGGTAGATTTTTTTTTCTCGTTTTAATTTTTGGCTATACTTTTTGTGTCCTTTTATTTCAGTTTGTATTTTCTTCGTTTCTTTCTTTTTTTTAAGAAAAGAACACGAGACTGTATACCTGCCACAGGAATATGTGCAGAAAACAATCCCTGTCTGTAAGGGACTAGTCAGCGGAGTATCCTCCACTGTCCACTTTGCCCTTTGCATAAGGTTTGAGTTGATGTGTGCCGGAGCTGAGGGGAGTGTTCATGTAGGTGAAGAAATGACAGCTCATTTCATCTAGGGAATGGCGTGGAGGTCGGGTGCTTAATAACTGGGCAAAACACATTCATCTTTAAAAAAAGCCAATAGAAACACCTTTTTTTTGGAAAACGGTTAAATGAACATGATAGACTCAAAGGAAAGACACAATACATTTCAAAATGAATAAAAACATCTTTTCCAAATCTAAAGTCCTCTTTTTTGTGGGTATACCTCAAAAGTTTATAGAACAACAATGTGGATGACTAAGAATTCTATTTGACCCTCCAAATTAAAGCATCCGGATAGGCATCAAATACTGTATCTACAAACACCTGGAAAATTGAAACCACCTATATACAATTTTATAAACATTTTAAACACCAAAAACATACATCTTTTACAAACAAGTCTGTTTATAACAGACAAATGTACAACATGGTCTCTGGTAACAGTGCTTTGCAAGAACCCTCCCCATTCCCAGACACATCTGTCACTCCCGAAATCCAGTAGTATGGGCTCATAAAATTGTTAAATAGGAGCAATCCAGGGATTTGTTTGTTGAAGGGTGCTATGGGGTCCAATACACTCCAAATGACTACAGAATTCTCTAGTGCATCCTGAACACTGGAAGAGACTAATTATGGCCTTTGTGTATTGTTACACACTTGTAATTATTGCTTTTCATTATTACATAAGGAAAGAAACACCTTATTCTTTTCCTTCTTTAGCCATCTGGCTAAATATTCGCTGACGTCAAACCCGTGCATGGCGACTTTAAACCCCCTGTCACACACAACTGGAAGCTCAAAGAGGTGGGTCTCAATCAGCAATGTGCAGCTGAAGATTGCAAGACACGAACTAACAAGGACACACACTGCCTCCTTACGGACCACACAGAAAGATAGCACTGAAGAAATGCCCCTTGGAAGCCCCATGTCCCACAAAGCACAGGACACGCAGACCTAACTAAGCACATGACCGATGTCTGCAGCAGTGAGAAGGCCAGACAAGGCTGGCAACACAAACACTAGATCTTCCCGAACTACATCGTCTTAGCGTGTTTTCCTCTGGTTTATTCTGATCATCTTTCTCTTTCTCTTGTTTGTGTTTTGGACCTCCCAGCTTTTGCAAATTGGACACAGTCCTGTGGCTAGAGTCAGTAGGAAGAGGCCAATAGGAAACATTTCCTTTTCTTCTGAGATAGTGAATTTCTTATGGCAATTCCAGGCAAATCTGCCCAGGTCTTCCTGTGACTCCAACAGCTTAAAATTGAAGATTATGGCCTTGACCTACATATATTGCTATGACTTTCCCATTGCATCTTGTGAGTGGGCAGGATAGGGGTACACAGAAAGCGGGCATGGCATGAGGCTCAGCAGCAAAATACTCTCCGAGGAGGGAATAAATGAAGCATACTGTCCATCCTTTATAGCCCTGTAGCTCCTGCTTGGAGTGTGACAAAGACTGACGGCTTCTCTCACACTAACCATCTCCCGACAGATACAGACATACTCACTAACTGGCTAATTTTCCATCATGGTGGACAGGACAAGAACAGACAGTAGGCAGAGCTTATGAGAAGGAAACAACATTAAAACCATAAAACACACCCATTGGGAGTGTTACACACCAGCAGTTTCACTACTAGTCTGAATATAGTTCTGTGCTCACTCCATCCCCATTCTAGAAACATTCATTTGGCAAAAGCAGCATTTTGATGGATGCCCAAATCTCTGGTCTCACTAGAGTCCCAGAGAGATGGTCTTTATTTGTTTTGTTTTCTTGCATATGTCAGTGAAGGAACAGTGGGAAGTTAGGAACTCAATAGAAGGAAGCAGCTGCAGGCTCAGGGCAGCTTAGCGATGTGCAACATTACAGATAAGGAGTAGTGCCTACATGGATGGGTGACAGCTTTTGTCAGGGAGTTCACTTTTGCATGGGCCTGGGCAAGTCTCTTCCTCTCTCTGGGCATGCTTCCTCCCTTATAAAGTACGGGGCTGGCCTAGAAAATCGTAAGAACCCAGTTCTTTCGGACTGTGATCACCCCGTCTGGCTGCATGTAGAACTCACTGCACTCCATCTTCTAGTCTGTAAGGAAAAGCAGTTTTAAAAGTAGAAGACTCCAATAGACCCAGTGCTCATCTGGAATGTCTGTAGAGCTATTTTGTTGAAGTTTAGTAGGAAGGTGTCCTGAAGAAAAATGCATTTTATGTAGGTCAGAGGAGAGGGTGGGCAAGGATTTCGTCAGTGACTCCACAACTGCCTGCAGATAGCTCTATTTATGCCTTCATTATAGGGTTGGCCAGGCGTTCTCTCTGGAAGAGATGCTGGCTAAGCACTGGTGACTCATTGGCATGGATCTCATCTCATATTTCCTGGGGGCAAGAAATGAATTGTTGGTTTTCCTTTGATGGTTTTATGCTGTTGTGTTATTAAAAGCACAGCAGTGATTCAATTCTGGACCATTAGTTTGTCATTTTCTTTGTGATTCTTGCAAATGTGCTTCTTACATAAGAAAAATACTAAAGACTTTATTCCTGAAAGCAGCCTTAGTGAAATTCATGTATTTCAGGACCACAGTGTGGATAATGCCTCCATGGATGATTCTAACCTAGAGAATGGAAGAGAAGAGCTGAGAAACTAGACAAGTATGTCCTCTAACTTGGGAAGTTTGGGAATAAAAGGAATTATTTTTAATGACAGATGTTCAGAAACACCAACTCCTACAGAGAAGTAAGTGTCTAAAGACAATTGCAGAGATGATAGGCAGATCCCAGACGGCTGACTTTACACACCAACGTTGGTGTCACCAGGAACCGTCCATACAGAGAAATTTGTTCACTAAGCAGATGTGCAAATATGCATTCACTTCCCATGCTCACTGCAAAAAGGTGGCCACAGCTGATCAAAGTGAAAGAGGAAAGTTAACTCCACTGCCAACTTCAGTGGGATAAGTAGTCTGTCATGGAAAAGTGATGGCCAAAGGCCATATGTCATATGAGAGGGAGACCCCGGGGTGTAATCAAATGTTATACAGTTTCAAATAGTAGTTCTGGAAAATTATAAAACACTGTCTTTAAAAATCACAGTACTTGCTTTAAGTTAATATAAATGGCAGTACTAAAATAAGGTTAACTGAATTGGAGTAAGATATGGCATTTGGTGTTCCTGTAACACTAACGATTGGAGAAATCAGAAGGCCAGCAATGCCTGCTCACCTCACCATTTCCAACACTGAGTCCTAAACCCTTTAGGGCAGCTTCCCTCAAGAGCAGCTGTAGTGAGTGCACACTCAGTGATACTGAGGCCCCCCCCTCACAAGCACACACGCTTGCACACACGCATGCACACACACACACGCACAATTTAATTTATACATGGTCACTACTTACTTTTTTCTTTAAAAGATAAGAGTATTTATAATGACACCACTACAGTTTAGAATAACACACACAGCTTTCACCTTCGGTGTGAAGAATTGTGATTACCTAGGCCGAACCCTCCTACAGTACCACATCCCCTCTTCTCTGGATCTGTGAATTCTGTTTAGACTTTCCAATACAGCTCATTCCAGAGAGCAATATCCCAGCAGGGGCCTGTTCCTGCAGCAGTGTTAGAACCGAGATACAGCTAGGATTACTTGCCAGAAAAGACAGAACAAGGTCGTTACAGACTTTCTAATGTTTGAACATTAACCTCCCCCAACCCACCCACTGGAGTCTAGATAGTCTTATTGCTCTTTCTTTTGTAGCTTTCTCAGAGATCACAAAACCCAACTATATTATACTGGATGCTTAACACAAACAAAAACAATCTGAGCACACTAAGCATGTTACTCAAACCTAATTTTATAGCTGAAAATTAGACAGCTTGTTTAAAAAATAGAGTTGGTTTTAAAGTCCTCCATCCACCTTCTCGTTTAACATTAACTTCTCTTTTCTTTCATCTAGAACACTAACTTTTCTGATAAACACTACTATTTTCACTTCCTCGGCTCAAAATCGCATGCAACGATGTCCCTCTGACGGTATCGGGGTTTAATACTGTAAGGGTCTTTGCTTTCATACTCTCTGGGGCACAATAATGCACAAAGCCATTCGTGTTCTCCCGTTTGACTTAGTAAACTCATTTCTTTTGCATTCCAAGCCACAAACACAGATGCCCACAAACAAGGATTGCCAGTTCCCCCTTCCCCCGAAACAATTTCTGAGCCTCTCCTTGTCACTCTGGGAGTCAAGCTTGCTTGCGACGGTCGGACTTGTGAAGGTGTTGCTCACAGGAAATCCACATTTCTACAGACTTTTCTCCATCCAGCCCAAAGGGCAGCTTATTCCTTCCATGCGGTAACAGTCAGAGCACAGCACCTGTGAGGGTCACTACACCTGGGTCTGGTGCTGCGTTTCCACGAAGGGAATGTGAAGGTTGGCCAGGTTGAGCTCGCCTGGGCTCTCGTAGTCACTCATGGCTACCTCAGAATCATCAAAGCCACGGCGGACTGACATGTCTGAGGATGAGGTGCCTCTGGAATTGTGCAAGGACAGAGACACGCTGTCTGCTGGGCCCATGACCTCTGTGCCCTGGTTCATGCTTACTGCAAAAGTACTGAAATCACAGTTGGAGGGTGGGCCCCCCAAATCTGTTTCATTGGGAAGGGGGTGAGGAGGGAGGTACTGGCTGGGGTGAAACCGGGGCCTCCTCCTGCAGTCTGGGCTCATGGTGCCAGCTAGTGAGGTGGGCTGGGAGGGAGGCAAGGCGTCGTACTGGTCAGGGAAGTCCTCAGGCAGTGGTGGGGGTAGCTGATCCTGACTCAGGAACTCTTCTTCGTGGGGTGGGGGGTATTCACTGTCAATGTCATAGCCACCTAGGTAGTAGTCGCTCTCCAACTCTCGTGTGCTACCCTGGTGTGCTGACCCTCCATCTTGGCTCTCATAGTTGGGCATTTCCTCAATGTCGGACAGCCGCGCTCCGGGCATCCAGTCAGAGGTGTCCCAGTGATAGGCTGTGAGAGGAAAAGCAGAGGATTAACTACCTCCAGGCTACGGGCAGGGAAAGAATGAATGATGAACAGGAGTGGGTCCGCCATGCATTACTAACGCCTAGGAAACCCAAAAGCCAAGTTATGTTCAAAACGGGCCATTAGGGCCAGCCATGCTCTGGCCTGGAGAGAGCACAGAGCCTCGATAGTGCAGACTCATCCTCACCGGGCCCAGAGTGATGGCCAACACACTCACGCTGATGGAGCGCTCAGACTTGGGGATCTTCAACATCCGCCCCACCCCCTCTCCCCATCCACATGCGGTGCACAAGGCCAGGTTGACAGCATGCTGGCAGAGAGAGGCACCCGTGTGTGTACTGGGAACCGCAGAAAGCAAGGAGCTTTGCAGGTAAATGGGTGAATTTCACAAGCAGAGAATTTCACGAGGCCGTGAAAAGAATGCGTGTGGAATTGGGCACACAAGACACCTGGAACATGCAAAACTCAGATGGGGAGGCTCAGAGGGCATGGGGGGAGGGGCACGGCAGGATGAGTGGAGAGGTAGGGACACAGAAATGAGTTGCTATCCCCGGTGGTGGCAGAGTCACCTCTGTTGTAGTTCTGTCCCTGGTCGATGACAGACACTGTTCAAACACAAAGTGAAAAGTCAGTCTGGCCATGCAGGCCATGTGAAGACAGACAAAGCAGGTATTTCAGAAGCCTTAGAATGAAGGCCTAACACTGATTTTGGGCAATTAAAAAAATTCTCCCCATCACTATTTAGGAAATTCAGACATAAATCCCATCTGTATTTTGCTATAATTTCATTAGAGCGCTAACAAAATTACCTGATATAAATTAATCCTCATAAGATTTCCATTTCTGATGATTTTGTAAGTATCCACAGATCACAGCAGGTATTCAAAACATACCAGAATGAATGCAATATTAACTGATTAGTCTGGATTGCAAATGAATATTCTCTACTTTGAAGAGATTTGATAAAATAAGAGAACCGAGAAATTAAAAAAATATGAACTAGATTTCTTTCAAGTGAAGTTTATTGCAATCCGTAGGGATACATCTGGAATTGAATTTGAGGTTTTTTTTCTGGCTAGATAGGCAAGTTGTCTATCACTGAACTAAATCACCAACCCCATTATCTTATTTAAAACCAGCCTTATATTGCACTTTCTACTGAGCACAGTCAACCCCAGATAAAGCACCACAGAAGCAAACTTTCCAGAAGGACAGACATGCTATGAAAGAAGGAAACAAACAAGCAAAAATTAAAACCAAAAATAACAGTAAATACCTTCATTCTCTATAGAGTCAACTACATTGTTGACAAGTTGAATGACAGTCACTATGGATGCTTTTGGCAGGAAGAGAAGACAGGAGGGAGGGGAAGGACAGTTTCTGGTTAGTTACATATTTCAAACACATGTTAATGAGTAATAAAAACAATAATGAAGACATTGCACACAAACTCCCACAGCTTTCCCACAGTCTGTCCTTCAGGTATGGTATCAAGAGGACACTTATACAGAGAGGCCTGGGGACTGTTGGAAGACAACGAATCAGTAGGAAAAAAGACGCATGATTTTCAAGGATCTCTGAGTCATTTCTCCACACTCCAAGGTCTGTCACATCAAACCAGGAAGATGGTGGCCCGTGGAACTCATGAAGATTTCTCATTAGCACTCCCAGAGATCCTCAGAGGAAGACTGGAACTGGGGGTAATTACTTGTGGTCACCAATGTGCTCTGAATCCAGTGTCAACTGTGTAGGATATTTTTGAATTGATATGAGGCTAGTAGTCTTACACATGCCCTGATGGGCCACACCAAGCTGAAGCCTATCTCTTGAGGGTGAGGCTTAGGGTATGTGAAGGAGACCACAGGTTTATTAGCGTTGCCTTAGATGCTCATGACTTCAGATGAGAGGGTCACACTTCCTGACCAGATACAGATCATGAAGAGGTAGGTGTGTGAGTTACAGAGCTTTTGAGGGCCATCAGCCAGACTTTATGGCTGTTGCTACTGCCTGGTCTCTGAAACTATATGTTCTCAATGTTTAACATAAAATGTAAAGTTGCTATAGGTTTTCTTCTTGCTGGAGGTGAAGAAGGGAGGATGCATCTAAGTAAATATACCTGGGTCAGAGGCTAGTGTCTTGGTCGAAAACGGTCAGAAGAAATTAAGATACATGGTTTGTTATCTCAACTGATAGATACACCTGTGTGTGTGTGTGCTCATGCTTGTATGTTTGTGCATGATATTTTCACGTGTACAGGTTCATGGGTCTGTGCAATCCCACATGGAGGCCGAGCAGAATGCCTAAGTATTTTTCTCTTTCACTTGGCCTTATTGCCTGGAGGCAGGTTCTATCAGTAGACAGGGACCTTGAAATGTCGGCTTGGCTGAGATTGTAGGTGCTAGGGATTCTAACTCAGGTCCTTATGTGCTTTTACTAATGGATCCATTTTCCCAGCCCCAGCGCTAAAACCTCTTCAGGCGTGGCTAGTGTTGGGGAAATATGTGGGGTAGGTTTGGGTCATGTATGAGAAAGCAAACCATTGTAACCCTACACCTACTTCTTGGGACACTTTCCCTGTGTTTGCCCAGAGGCCGGGGCTCTGCTATTTCCATTCTTCTTTACTATGTAGAGAACTCTCGGCCCAGGACTCTGCACACAGTGGATTAGCAAAGGCTCACGTGCCAACTGTGGGTAAGTGGGAAAGACAACCTAAGGTGTTGGCTAGAGTGGGCTGCCTGTCCCTGGATGATCATTTGAAGTGATTCCTGCGTTGAGCACCGCACGACCAACATTTGCTAGCTGGACTTTCTTCTTCTTTCCCTACTTATCCTCTTCAGCTGGCTTCCTAGTCCACACTGGCTCCTTCTCCTTCAGCTCAGGTTCGTGGGAGCTGGGTGAGCCAGATTGGGGATTATTGAAGCAGTCTGTGAGTCACAGGGACTCGTTTACAGCGTTCTGGGCAGACAGGCATTGTTTTTCTCTAAGGATCTGTGTCATAGTTTTTTAATCAGTTCTCCAAAATCCCATGACCCCAAATGATTGATTAGAAGGGAAATTCGATTGAACAAAGATACCACTGGCTCTATAGAAAAAAAGCCACCCTGTTTCCAAAGCAATGTCTAAGGATGTGGTGGTTGAATGTAGAGCAGGGGGAAGGGGGGCCAGGACACAAGCAGCCCAGAGGGGCATCATCATATGTGTGGTAAGTATCATCGGGATGCAGGCAAGTCTGTCACCATCTAAGTCAAAGAGGCGGTTTTCGTCCAAGTCCCCCTGATGCAGATCCTACTCTGAGCAGTGGAATACAGGGTCCTCTGGCGAGGACTCTCAACAATGGGTACAAACGGTTAAAAGCCAAGGAAAACAATAGCAGTCATATCTCCCTTCACCTCTTCTGCTGTCCCCAGCAACAGGGCAAGACTATGCTTACCGTTGTCGTCACCAGAATCCGACTGGAAGGAGTTGAGAGACTGAACTTCGGAGTTACTGCCTTTGTTACTGTTCGAGAAGCAGGTCACCTCTCCGGGGTCATCAGCCCCTTTGTCTTCGTGAGCAGGCAGGAGAAAGCAGAGATAGCACTCAGCCTTGTGCAACCGTTCAGTCTGGCTCTCTCCCTCCCTACCCCTTTTCCTTAGAAGCTCTCTGGTTTGCTTCGAGAAAATAAGTTAGCTCCACAATGGAAAATTGATTGTGCCATAGGGGGCAAAGGTCTGTCAATCAAGTGATTTACATTATGGATTTGGAACCCTTAACCCATGGTAAATGAGCTTCCGAGCAGCTGTCAGCTGAAAGGAAGTGTTCCTGCCTCAAAGTGAGGACTATGGAGAGTGAAATGAGGATGAAGTATCTGAGTCGCTCTTCATTCAGACTTAATTTATGTCATTTACATGAACCGATGTGGTGTCAACACCAGGTTAAATGAGATTACTTTTAAAACAGGGGCATAAATATTTTATAGGCAAGAAAGCCGTTACATTTCTTCCAGCTCCCATCTCTGGGGATAAGTGGGATTTTCAGTTCTGCCTTCTAGAGGGCAGTGCTGTTTCATCTCGGGGCTGCCAGTGTCCTCTGCTCTGTGTCTGCTAAGAGGACAGGCAGATGTGAATTTTCCCTTATTCATTTGCTCTGTTTGCTCTGTTTTCTCTCTCTGCCATAGAAAAATATCCAGACCCCCGCGCTTGCACACACACACACACACACACACACACACACACACACTCCTACACCTTTCTAATTTGAGAGATGTAGGAAGCACGGAAGAGCCCATGTCTTGAGGTGCTCAAGTTCACAATGAATTAGTTGCCCAGAAACTGTTTTCCCTAGCTCTGACTGTGCCTTGCTTAACAAAGAGGGAAACATGTTCTCTAAAATCCAATGGTAATTCAGGGGGAAACGTGAGTTTTGGCCTGAGGTGGATTCTGAAAATAAGGCTGTCATGTCATGAGGTGGTGATGGGAAATATTCTGCAAGAAACACTGCAGGCCGTCTCAGAGTGTGAGTGCTCGAGGAGTCATACAGCTGTGATTAGGGGATGGGCACTTTGCTTTGCAGCCACAAATCCCCCCGTGAAGAGTAACCTCAGGAGCAAACCTGAGGGCTCCCCATCTGCTTCAGACGATGATGCCAGAGCCTCGGATAAACAACTGATACAGATGTAGTGAGGTACGGGGTGGGGCGGGAATTCACTCCCCCCCCCCCCCAGCAGCTACAACTCAAACCATGATGACGCCTTTTAGGAAACAGCAAGGTGTTCACGGCTGAGCCCGGAACACTGAAGGATATGCAAGGTGGTCAGCTGGCCCTGGTGGCCGCAATTTGACACCCGCAAGCCCTTTGCTTTGCCTTTAACTTAAAACTCATTTTATTTCCAAAATAAAAAAGAGTGCTTTTTTTAAATTAAAGGTGTGGGAGGCAGGGGCAGGCAGATCTCTGTGAGTTCTAGGCCAGCCTAGTCTACATAGTAAGTTCCAGGACAGGTAGTGCTACACAGTAAGACCCAATAAACAAACAAACCAGCAAACAACAAAAAAGAGTGTCCCTACAGCACTGTTATGATCCCTGACTCCATTTAGGAGCCCGGGAGATGACTTAAAATCCCTGTGTGTCCACAGGACAGAGCCGGAGGGTGGCATGTTAATGGCATTAGAATGGAAAGCCCTCACTTTAGGTCTCCCCTCCCATGGAGCAATGCTCTCTCAAACTCTGCTCCGCCTGTTTTCTGCGGAGCTCCTGGAGCAGTTCTGGTAAGAGCAGACTTGGAACCCGGTGCCCAGACTCTGCCCTTTGCTTCCTTGGAGCAAGTCTTCCCCAGGAGCTGGAAATGACGCCCGTGTTGGACAAACCCAGTTAGCTGTGACAGCCCACACAGATGGCAGACACCCAGCAGCGGTAGCTTTACCTCCGCATTCTCAACAAATCCCACTGTCTACCCTCTTGTGCATTTTTTTCCCTTTGTCTTGGTCAGTTCCCAGTACCTCACACTAGGAACTGTATGGACATGCTTGGCCGCCTTCTTTCTTTTCAGGGAGCGTTTGTTTTCCCCCTCTGACCTCTGACCTCTGACCTCAGACAGGCATCTCCAAGCTCCTTTCAGAGGTCCAGCCAGCAGCCTGCTTTCTCTGTCCCATCAGTGACCTGACCCTCCTACACCATCCCCTCTACAATATGCAGACAATGGTCAACTGTCATCTCTTTGACCTCTACACTGTGCCGCCCCAACCCCCACACGCATCCTTAATGCTGATCCGGCAGCTTCCTGATCTAGGAGACCCTCTCCAGTAGTTTCCTACCCACTCATGCTTAAGGATTCCTCAGGAATGCCCCTCCTGTCCAGAAGCACTGGTTACTTCCTTGTTTCCTTGTCTGAACATCCTCAGTAGGATCTTTTTTGTTTGTTTTGTTTTGTTTTGTTGCTTTGTGGCTTTGGAGCCTATCCTGGAACTTGCTCTTGTAGACCAGGCTGGTCTCACACTCACAGAGATCTGCCTGCCTCTGCCTCCTGAGTGCTGGGACCTTTTGAAACCCACTCTGTCCTCTTCCCCACCTGGCATAAAAACAAAACAAACAAACAAAAAAACTGTGTAGTTCAGGGCACGACAGAGTCTCCTTTAGTCGCCCTCTGATGCCAGGGCGGGGAGCATTCACCTTCTTTGCAGACTCAGCCTCCATACTAAGTCTTGCTCAGTTCTTAGCTCAGTCTGCCAGAGCTGTCTTTTAAACTGTAACTAGCTCGTGCCACTCACCGGCTTAAAAATCTGCATCACTGTGGATCCTAAACCCCACCTTCTGCCCGATGCCCGGCAACTCCAGCCACTCTCAACCCTGCTTTTCAGCTCATTAAGCCCTTTCCCATTCCAGGACTTACACACCCAGGTTTTTCTCTGGGTTAGAACCTTGCTTCAAGAAGCCAAAGGGAGAGGGAAACCCAACCCCCTCGCTTTGATTACGTCCATCACCTTGTTTGTTACAGGAGACTGCCTTTCTCCCCCACTCTCTCCCCCTCCTCCCCCACTCCCTGTGAGAACCCGGGTCTTCCCAGGGCACCTGCCCATTCCTGCATCTCACTCACTTTCAGGTCCTGAGTCCCAGCCGTTCTTTCGGATGGAATCACAGTCAGAGCGGCATGGCGACACAGCCGGGAGGTTGGGGGCCACACTGCATACCACCACACCCCGACGTGCTGTCAGGATGCGCGGGGACTCCGGGTGGAATGTGCTCATCTCCTGTGGCTCACCACCCAGGGCGTCCAGGCCCTTGTCCAGATTGCTCCTGGAGTCGCTCTGGAAGCAGGGCGTGTAGGCCATGGGGCGCACCGGCACCTGCGGGGGTCCCACTTCCTGGTACACATTGCGCCCGTCGCCCGCGCGCAGGCTGCGGAATGGGATGCCGTTGCTCTTGTGCAGCAACGCGGCTGTGGCTGGGTCCTGCACTAGCGTGATGTTGTTCCGCGAGTAGTTCTTGCGAAAGACCTTCTTGCGAAAGACGATGAAGAGCACGACCAGGGTGAAAATGACGAAAAGGACCACAGCAATGCCTATCAGTTCCTCTTTGCCCACGTATGAGTGACCAGCTTGGATGTTGGGCACGACCACGGGACGCAAACCACAGTACTGGCCCACGTAGCCTGGGGTGCAGTTGCAGAAGAAGGAGCCGAACAGGTTGACACAGGAGCCCCCGTTCTCACACTCCTCGCGCTCACACTCGTCCACGTCATCCTCGCACCTTCAGAGACAAAGCACACAGAAGCCCTTCCAACATCAGGACACTGTACCAGAGCTCCACAAAGGACCCACCTTAAAACAGAAGGAAACCCCTAAAGAGTCCATTGCCATGTGGCAGTGTGAACATGTGTGTGAGTATATGCGTATTCATATGTGCATGTTCATATCTCTGTGCGTTCAGGCCCTCTGGAGGGTCAGCAAGCAGTCTGAGCCACCAGCCCATCTCTCTGGCCCCAGCACAGCAAGCCCTGTAGTCTGATTCCTTCTTACTCTAACACTGAACGCACACGGCAGAACTTCGGTGCGCCATGCCCCTCTACTTGAGTAATTGTTCTGATACGCTCATTGGGAAGGTCCCATTCACCTGCAGTTTTGGTAATTCACCTTTTATAAAGTAGTCCAAATACACTAGGGCCAGGTCAGCCAGAAATTAGAGTCACAGATTATTTAAAAATAAATGCAGCTTTATGATTTCAAATCACACCCGGCAATTCAACATCAGCTAAGTATTTCTTGCTGGAGTCCTCAGAGATTTGCTCTAATGAACACGCCAGGCTGATCTGTAATTAGACCATCACTTGTTGAGAATATATGTATATACTTCTAAATGACCAAGGATGCCTGGAAGTGGCCTTTTACTCAGCATTTAAAGCATTTCCTTTCTGTCTGGGTAACACTCAAATTTCACTCATTTGCTGCAGGAAAAGGGTTTTCAAAGGAAAGGCAAAGATTAATTTCTTGGAATAGTCATTAAACACTGGGTAGTACAGTCGGGTCACTGGGTTCTGGGATGTGAGTTTTATGTGTGTCTCAGAATTATACTGGAAAATTTTGGTGGTGCTGAGCATGTTTGTAATGTCATTATAGAATACATAGGGATTGGATAAGCTTGAAAATACAAAAGGATAAAGTAAAACATATAAATTAGATATAACCTTAGGGTCCCCACTGACATTGGAGTACTTTTTAAAAAATGTAGTTATCCATCACTTTGCCATCTTTTTTTTTTTTTTTTTTTTGGTTTTACGAGACAGAGTTTCTCTGTATTGTTTTGGAGGCTATCGGTCCAGCACGGCCTCGAACTCACAGAGATCCGCCTGACTCTGCCTCCCAAGTGCTGGGATTAAAGGCGTGCACCACCAACGCCCAGCCTCTTTGCCATCTTTACCTTTTGTGAGCACCCCCATCTCCTACCGAACCTGAAGCACACTGGCTCGAATAGGCTGGCTGGCTGATGAGACCCAGGAAGTCCCAGCCTTAGGATTACAATGCCCGGGTTTTTATGTGGGTGCTGGGGAATCGGAACTTGGGGCCTCATTCTTGCTCTTCAGTCACTTTTGCTACTAAGCCGCCCCTGTGAGCACTGTACGGGAAAGACGGCAGTGTGTCCATTTACTCTAATGAGCCACATGCTGGGCTGTTTCCTGAGGAGGAGAAGCGGTGTAGAGAGAGGGCCTTACACAGTCTCACTTACGTGACTCCTGTGAGGCCGGCTTTACAGCTGCAGACGAAGGTGTTTCCTATGGGGTCGCAGGATCCTCCGTTCCGGCAAGGGTTGGGGAAGCAGGCTGTGATCTCCGATTCACAGTTTCTCCCCGTGAACTGTGAGAGACAGGAACACTGATAGCCTGGGGGGAAACAGAGGGCCTCATGAGCAGAGGATGCCACAGCGACGTGCAGAGTCCTTGGACTCATCTGTGACAAGTATTCCCAACTCCTCATCTTGAGCAAGGCCTGGATTCCAAAGTTGATCAGCACACTGGCTCTGTGGAGTTCATTTGCCGTAAAAATACCAGGGTACAGTTTGGATACTATGTTAGTCTACAAAAAATTCACCTGATTGTCCACATTTCAAAGACTGCTAATGCTATTGTCAGAGACACTAAGACCAGAGACCAGGATGGGGAGTGAGGTGACAGTCCTGTCTATCCCGTCGTCTGTAAATGGTGACAGCTCAAGATGGGAGAAGTCACTGCTGCCATGCTCCCTCCTGCCCTGAGCTCCAAGGGAGGCCGAGTCAGCTCAACTGAAACTCAAGCCCTAACCCTTCAACACCCCTCTGCAGAGCCTCTACTTTGCATCCCTTTCATATTCTATTCATGAACCTGTCATGCAAAAATAGGCACTGATGTCTGCATCACAGACAACATTAACTATCAGAGGAACGAAGACTCTCAGAGTATTACATGTGTCTCCTGGTGGAAAGGGTACATTACTATGGTTGGTTTTTTCTTAAAGAAATTGTTGTTGCCCTTCGAGTTAGACTTAGTATATGGGTAATGTTCTATGAGTTCTGCCTTGCCAATCACAGTATTTCCCTGCCTTAGAAACAACCCAGGCATTCTTTTTAGGATTTCAATATTTTTGTGGCATGTTGATATTTTGTGATTGTTTCTGTTGGCTTTCCATTATATCTTTTATTTCAAAACATCAATCTCACCACACACACACAGTCTTCTGATGGCCTTCCTCTAAATATATTATAATTTTTTAATGTTAATTAAATGGACAGTATTTGTATTATTATAATTAGCTGTAATATGCTATTTGTAGCTAAGATACTTGGCTTTTATTTTCATGCATATCTTTGTCTTTAAAAAATATCGAAGATGGCCCTGTGTTTCTGATTGCTATTTTATAAATGCGTATTTAAGTTGATCTCCAGACTGTTCACCAAATAGGTCTCCCTATTTGATCTGCACATGGTGTCTTATATTTCCACACACTACAGAGGTCTCTGAGAGCTCCACCTTGAACAGCTGACCTCCTATGCAGCTCCTTTGCATACCTGTGTTAAAGCTCCATTTCTGGGTCACCTGGTTTATTTCCTCTTTCATTTGCAGATTCTGTAATTGCTTCCCAGGGGAAGGGGTTGTAGGAGGCAAATTTCATGAGAATTTGTATAGTTAAATCCTTAAACTTCATTGGATTATATTAGGAAATTAAAGCAATCTTCTGCCTGTTGTTTTTGGGAAATCCAAAGTTTCTGAAGCTTGTAAAGCCAGATTTTTTTTTGTCTCTAATAAATTGGAAGGTCATATTTTTGGAATCTCATGACATTTATCTGTTCTGTGATTTAGCTTGGGCTTGCTCTAGCCAGTGCTGGATCCTCAGTAAGCGCTTGTAATCTTAAACTCTCATCCTTCAATTTTGGTAAATTTTCTTGCAACATTTTATTGGTGATTTCTTTTGTTTTCTCTTTTGTCTTCATGGAAGTTTTCTTATTTGCATCTGAGATTTAGACCTTCCTGGAACTCTCTATCTTGTTGGTGCTCTTAAATTCTAACTCCATCATTTTGAATTGTTTTTGAGACTGACTGACACAGTCATCTTCCAAAAATTCTTTTTTTTTAATGTCACTGAAGTCACCTCCCTCTTTCTACCTTTTATTTTGCCTAATGTACAACCTTAGCCTCAGATTTCTGTATTATGGTCATAGCATCTTATCTTTCCAGGGATATTAGTAATAATTCATGGTGTCTTTATGCCTGTGTAGTTTATCCTTTTTTTTTTTTATTTCCACAATAGGCTTCTCTGTGTTTCAGGCCAGCTAGGTTACTCTGCTCTGCCATTCAAACACTGGCCTAGACATTTAGGTGTTTGTGTATTTATTAACTTTTACAATTAGTCAGTATTATCCATAATGTGTGTGGCCCAAGAAGAATTTTTGCCTCAAAATCAACACCAAAGAAATTTTGCTCATTTCCAGCCAACTGGCTTGCTCTATGAATTATTATTTCAGTGCTGTAAAACCAGCTCTTAGATGGATTTCCAACCGCTAGCCTGCCCTACAAATTTTAGATTTGCTAGCCCCAAATCGCATTACATAATTCTGTAAGATTAAATCTCTTTCTTTCCCTTTCTGTATGTGTGTGTGTGTGTGCGTGTGTGTGTGTGTGAGAGAGAGAGAGAGAGAGACAGAGAGACAGAGAGACAGAGAGACAGAGAGAGACAGAGAGAGACTGAGAGACAGAGATAGAGAGCATGATAGATTTCTTCCTTTTGATTCTGCTTCTCTGGAGTACTCTAACAAATTATCTTACAAATTACAGAAATCCCTTCATGATCTTCTACAGGACACTTACTTAGCAGTCAGCTTGGCTGACTTCCTACCTCTAAAGACTGTATAGCTATAAGGTAGGTGGAGGCATGTCCATGCTGGTTCTCAGTGGTTGTGGTTTGGTGGGCTAGCTATACCACCCCTGGGAGAACAATTAGAAACAGGATAATCACAGAGATCAGGCAGAATTGTAAATCAGGGTCTTCTCTTCAGTAGGGAGTGTTACCAGCACACACATAAAAAAGAAACTATGAAAAGCACTGGGGATACAAGGTCAGAAAGGATGTGTATATCCCCAGAAACCTAGTCCTAGAGAAGCCAGTACTTACTCATGCTCACAAAGAAAGGACTTAAACTCAGGCCTGGTAGTGTTGTCCTGACCTGTTTCTAACACCGTGTGTTACTGCAACTACAGCTACAACTTACTGAGCATTTCTCAGTCATAAGGGTGAGAAGCAGACTGTCCAAGATCTGCATTGTGATTTCAGACCCACATGACAAAGGATCAGAGGGCCCTGGGGGGGAAATTCTACTTTTTAAATGTTTAATTTTGGATATGCAATGAGAGAGGAAACAATGGGTTAAATACTCAAATTATATTTTTAATAAATAATGACGTCTATTATTCAACCTCTTTGAAAGGCTTGATTATCAAAATTAACCTGTTACTACCATGGCTTTATTATCGCATTATTCTGCCACAGAGCCTTTTATTAACATTTTTTTATATCAGTAAGTCTGCCATAATAATCCCAAGTGATCTAGTGATTTAAACATTACTTCCAGTCATTCAACAGAGGATCACAATGGTCCTTGGAGGGTGCAGGGGAATGGTCCACTAGCATTCCCCAAAGGGACATTGGAGAGGCCATGAGGCTCTTCTAAGACATGGGCCTAATAACTGATTGAGTCTGACCTTGAATCCAGGCTTCCCAAGTCTCAGAACTTTCTATAATATTGTATATAGTCTAGAAATTTTTTGGTGGGACTAATGGCTTGTGATAATTCCACACATTTCTACTAGGCAAAAGAGAAATAGTAAGACAGACAGGAACAGACACTCCTTCTGGGAGCCAAATAATCACTAAATGAACAAAGTCATGTATGTTTCTGTTCTTTCCAAGAATTCTCTATTGCTATAACACACATACACACACACAAACACACACACTATCCAACACACATATATACATACACACCTCCACATACACTTATACACATGCAACATAACAACACATATGCATACCTACATATATATGTACCAACACACATACATTCACATACAGTTACACACATGTACACACTTATATGTGCACAACTGTACCTACACACACTAATAAGTCTACACACACACATACCTATGCATGCACACACACACACACACAAATTCCTAGAGATATCTAGAAAGTATCTAATGATTACAATTATTATCTAACACTATCACAAATATAAAAGAAAAAATTATTTGTATAATTTTCAAAGTCTGAATAATAATTGATTTATGGTAGTGGGCAGAGAGGTTACAGAATCCGTAGCCAGAATAATAGCTTTTCATATGACTAGGAAAAATTCTAAGTGCTTTGTATAACTTATATTTCATTTACTTCTTATAACAACCGCATGCATTATATTCTTTAAATAGTGCTTATTATCATGGCTACTTTACAAATGAGAAACAGGCACTTAGATGAGATGGTTCTCTCATGGTTATCAAAGCCAGCGAGCAGATGGACTGTGCACACTTCTCAGCTTGCAAAGGAAATGGCCCTACTAGCATTGAAATATGTGTACAAAAAAAGCCACAGCTTCTTTCCCTTCAAATCTTGGCGACATGGGAAGTATATTTTTAAGCCTTGCCTCCAAATCTGTGTTCCTGTTTACACTCCTACTTATAGCCTATGCAGATGGTTTTGAAACCTGTACCCAGACAAACTTAAAGTGCTTCTCCTCCCCTTACTCAAAGAAGAACATCACAAAACCTATTAAATGTAAAAATAGAACTGGAACAGGCAATTATTGAGCAAATTTGGGTGGTGTAGGCAAATAGTCAAGACACTTCCTGTCTTATTCCCTTGCTTCGTTGGTTTCTGATCCAGTTCACCCAGGCAATGACCTCAACCTTCTGCTCTGCTCATCAGGGCAGAGGAACATCATTTTTTGGGTCTACAGTCTTGATGAGAAAACAATGCCCACAGACCTAGAGTTTCATCTGCTGTCATGCTGGCTGAATTATGGAATGATCAAGACTTGAGAAACTACTTGGATGTGGTGAGGACCTGGGTCCAAGGCTGAGTCCCGACTGTTGCCCATCATCTACGCGTGGCCATGTACAAGATGTTTGACTTCTGAGAACTCCCTTGCTTTTTCCGAACAATCACATTCATGGGTGCTCTGCCAGAGAGAACCTGGGTCTAGATTCCAGAAGTCAATGCAGTGCACAGGTACTAGGTGCTTTAGTGTTGAATTGTAATTACTGCTGACTTTAAAGTCAATCTCACCTCCCTGTTGCTTGTAAACCCAGTAACTGCAGGCAAAGGAGATAACTCTGCCAGTCAAGTGTTTGTCTCG